GGCTCCCTCCCGCCAGTCCGTGGAGCGCGCACCGCCTCGCCGCCCTTCCTACCCTCTTCCGTGGGCCTCTCGTATGCGCTTGGCTCCGGCGACTCCGTTCTGCTAATCCTCTGGCGGTTTTCTGGGTTATTTAGGCAGGTGTAGGTGGAATCTAAGTGATCAGCAGGACGCGCGGTGAGCCCAGCGTCCTCCTACGCCGCCATCTTCCTTCTCTCTCTCTTATGACTGTTTTATAAAGCAGATAAATTGTGAATAATTAGGTTATCTTCATTATTAAGAAACTTGAGTGATGATAAAATTTTTAAATTAATGGTATAATTAATCTCATTACTGAAATATTGGTTGGTAAGGAAATCACTATTAAAGGAGAAAGCACACCATCTACTGGCTATGTCCTGGAATAAAGGAACCCTTCTACTTGAGTGTCCTGTAATTTTTTTTTTTTTTTTTTTAAAGATTCATTGCAGAGCCATATCTTAGGAAAATTAAAGGTTAAAACGTTAAGGACCAAGGTGATAAAACATAATGCCAAATTAGAATTCATCAAGGTTTTACTGAGGCATAGTATGCCTTTAAGCCCTTCCTTGATGAAGAGTTTGTTACTATGAACTTCATGAAAAGAGGAGGAATTGTGAATACTTTTAAGTATAGAAAGAAGGCAGTAAAAGATACTTGAGTGGTAACCTGTTTGGGATGTCCTTAATGTTTATGTGTTTTATCATAAAAAAAAATAGTTTTAAACTATTGTAGAACTGATTTGCCAAGTATCTCTTACCTTTCTGTTTTAGAATGGGTTTCCATATGCCGCCTTTTTGTTCCATTTCCCACTTGCACCTTCATGTTCTGGCACCTGTCGATCAACTTGGCTTCTTATCAAAATTGGTTTATAAAATGAATTCCTATTGGTTTATCACAGTAAGTGTTACTATTGTAGTAGCTGCATACAAAAGTATTTAAAATATTTGTCCTTTTTGTTGTAGATCTTCTTTTCTTGGCAACACTAGGCACTTACAGCTCTCATAGACCTGATCATCTCTTTTAACATACTGCTTGAATGTATGCAAAATAATATTTTTATTTTGAGGGATTTTCCAGGTTATCGTATCTGTAGGAAGAGAAGCTATGGCTAAGTCTCTCCATTGCAGGCAGTGGGTATGATATAAAAGAACCATGGCATTAATAGTTTAGAATCCAGGGTCCAATCTGGATTGAAATTGTGGCTCCATTAGTTTATTTGAGGTTCTATGTGCAAGTCACATAAACTTTTTAAGGCCCAAGTTCTTTATCTGTTACCTACCGATAAGGAATACTGCCTACCTGTAGAGTTGATAAGTGGATTGATAAAGTAATTTGTATGTAAAGCACTTAAAACTACCTTGCAAATAGTGCTAGTAAATATTACCTGCTGCCTTTGTTATCATCATCAATATTATTATAGAAATGAATTTTTGTAATTTTCTAGTTTAGAAAAGGACTGCAGTAGTAGCATCACCTGTCAGATCTGAGGTTGAAGCTTTGAGCCTAAAAAAATGCAGAATTCTGTTTTGCTAGTGCAAAAGTAGAATAGAATTCAGCTGATTATAGGCCTGTTGCTGGACAGTCAAACCTTAGTTGATAAGTGACTGTCCTTCCAAGGCCACTTGACTAAGTAATATACCAGTTGCTATTGTGTCCGTGATGTTAAGGTGACCTGTAGTTGCCATATACAAATTATCATTGAATTACAAATAAAATAATTACTGTTAGTTAATGCATATTATTATTATAGCCATGGTACACAAGAAATTAAAAAGCATGATTTCTAGAAACTTCATATTTCAAACTTATCCCTCTAATTAACTTGTCCAGATGATTAATTTAAAAATAATTTAAGACACATATGTGTGTGTGTGTGTGTGTGTGTGTGTGTGTGTATTGTGTGTGTATGTGTTCAAAATTTAAAAAGTGGATGTTTGACAGGGCAGTTGGTGTGGTCTCTTTAAAAAAATCAGTGTGATTAAAAAAGGAATGTTTTTCCTTATTTGTATTTTTGATTTTCTACACTATCCATGCTTTAATAAAAAACTCATTAAAATATATTCTTGTAGGGTTTTTAAGTATACTTCATTACATGACTTTTTAGTTAGAAAAAAATGAATGAACATTGTAAATTATAGGATCTGTTAATGGTTCATCCTGTGAATCTGAACTCTTCTTCAATCTGTCAGTATGTATTATGAGACTTTGAAGAAAATTAAGAGAAAGATATTAAGGTTTATTTCAAAATCTCTTATATGATGTTTCAGATATATAAGATGTTTGAGAAAAGTATTTGAAATAATAATTAGAAGACTTTGGTTTACTTTTTTTTTAGAGTGGTTTTAGGCTCACAGCAAGATTGAATGGAAAGTACATTGAGTTCCGATATAACCTCTGCCCCCCATACTATAGACATCCTATATACCACAGTGATACATTTGTTATAACCAATGAAATTACAGTGATACATCATTATCACCCACAGTTCGTGATTTACATTAGGGTTCATTCTTGGTAGTGTATATTTTATGGGTTTGGACAAAAGTGTAATGACATGCATCCCCCATTATAGTATAATGCAGAATAGTTTCACTGCCTTAAAAAATCCTCTGTGTAGCCACTGATCTTTTTAATGTCTCCACAGTTTTAAGCCTTTTGTAGAATGTCTTATGGCTGGAAAAATACAGTATGTAGCCTTTTCAAATTGGCTTCTTTTACTTAGTATTATGCATTTAAGATTCTTGCACACCTAGTTTCCTTTTAAAATGTCAGTATTATATTTATTTTCCCTTTCTTATTGAAGCTTTTTAACAAATATGCAATGTGGATAAAAATCTGCCTACTTATATACAATATTGAATCCTTTTACTATAGTTTATAAAACTATTATATTGAGAAAATTTTTAAGATATTTTTAGGAACAGAATATGTCATATCCACCTCTTCTGCTGTGACTTATTATAATAGGGATGCCAGTAGAATTATTTCATGTAGGCTGTAATAATTAGAATTTAAAAATATGTTATGTTTTCAAAATTACAGGCTGATTGTTTGATTGAAAAACTAAGAACATGAAAATGTCAACAGTGGAAGATTTTCCTAATCTTGGCTCAACATAAACTAATATTTTGGTCCCTTTGAAGTCTAATTACCATTGTAAGGTTTGTTGGGTTTTATGAGAGGCTATTACTGGGTAGCCTTAAATCTTTTTTGAATGTTTCTTGAGATCTGTGATACAGTTACATGGATACTTTGTCACTAACTTCTTTGTTTTAATGGTTACATGTCTAAGGTATAAGATACTGTAGATAATATCCCATTAAAACAAGTTCTGTTAATCAGGGAGGGCTCTATTTTCTTTTTTAAAAGTTCAAATGTTTTCATTTTTCCAGTAGTCAATTATAATCATGATTTATGAAGAATAAACTGATACAGAAAGTACTTTGTCGACTTTGTTGGAGCCTTAATTATTATAAAGGGGGGAAAAGTAACCATTTCTTGACATTTCTGTAATTTTACACACGAAATTTAAAAACAAATAGTACCATACTACATAGTGAGCTCTGTTCTTGTTGCTGGAAAGAATTGTATATGTATTCCGTTTTACTCAGATTTCGGGTGCTGGTTTTCCCTTCTGAAAGCCTAATGTTTTTGTAATAAATTGAAAGCTATATAATATACATAAAATAATTACTAATGGTGAATTTACAAGAACAATCAACTTGGTTATCCAAGAGAAGTCGTTGTAATGGAATTTTACCTATAAGAGCATAAATGGGGAAGAAATACAAAGTGGTTATAATAATGTTATTAAAACTGGACAGAAACTGTTGTTTTATGGTTTGTTTATTGTACCAAAGGAAAAGTAGCATTCAAAAGTGGCTATGCTTAGCTTTTATGGTGAAGAAATCCTGATTAGAAAGTAGTGATAGATAAGCTTAGGTGAGAAAATTTATTTTAATAGCACAGAGTTAGCATTATTGATCTATCATTTCATGAGACCTATATCTTTAGAAATTGTGCTGATCTACACTAACAATAGTGCATGTGAATGAAGAGTAGGTACTGAAAGCTTATCCTACATTGTGCCAGCATATAATAATACCATGTGCATGAATATAAATGAACACAAGGATTAAAGTTTTGATGTTAGAAACAGGCTGTGATGATTAGTTTTCTTTCTTATTTTTGGCATGATATTAAACGTAGTTTTATGTAATGAAATAATTATTATAATTTTTAGTTACAACATCTGGCCTATTTAGTTACAGCATGTGAAATAAATATTCATTTATTCATTTAACAAACATTTGTTGAGCATTTAGCATTTACCAGACACTGCCAGGATCAGGAAATAGAGAAGTGAGAGAGGACAGTCTTTCTTCAAATGCTAATCTGAAGACAAAACCAGTGATCGTAGTGTAGTGTGTTAAGTGCTATAAAGTTCTCAGAAGAGGCTGTGGAAAGGAATACAATTTTGAGAGCAGGTTGTCAGTAGAACTGAATATTTAAGACTCAGTGTTAGGCAGGTAGACAGCGAGAGTTCAGTTAGGCCAAGAGTCCCACATGTACTTTTCTTGAGTTCTGCTTCTGTTATTATTTATTTTATTATCGAAATGAATGTTCACATTCCATTTTATTCACTGAAAGTGGAAGTAGGGGTTATAGGCTCTCAAAATTAGATTTCCAGGGTTTCCAGGACAGCTTTGTTAAGTAGCTCTCTGAGCACCTACACGGATAAGCAGTTGCAAGTTTGCAGAAATTAAATATGACCACTTTCAGAAAAGGAATTTTCTGCATGTACAACATGTTGTACTGTGTGAGTTTGCAATGGTATAATTGACAGTATGATGATAATAATATGTAAGGTATTTAAGGAATTCTCAAATGCCTTATGGACTCTTCAAAAATATGATTAGCCAACTGATTTAATTTATACGTGTTTATACCCTCTCATAGTTGTTTTCCTTCTTTGTTGGAAAACCATTGATCCTCATATTCTTAGCAGCATTTGTCTTTTACTTGTAAAGATTAATAAGGTTACTACAGTTAAAATTCACTGAGCCTTTTCAGTAAAATATTTGATAACTTAGTAGCTATCCATAACATCAGCTCAGCACAAAACTAATTCATAACTTGTTTTTAAAATGTTTAAAGTACTAGGGGCGCCTGGGTGGCGCAGTCGGTTAAGCGTCCGACTTCAGCCAGGTCACGATCTCGCGGCCCGTGGGTTCGAGCCCCGCATCAGGCTCTGGGCTGATGGCTCAGAGCCTGGAGCCTGTTTCCGATTCTGTGTCTCCCTCTCTCTCTGCCCCTCCCCCGTTCATGCTCTGTCTCTCTCTGTCCCAAAAATAAATAAACGTTGAAAAAAAAATTAAAAAAAAATAAATGTTTAAAGTACTATCTAGAACATTATTTATGCATGTTATGATTTTACTTGTTTGTAATTGCAGAATTGTAAAATTATTAGTGACCTGTTTCAAACTGTTCTTACTTATATAAAAGAAGGCTAAATAAATATGGAAAAATACTATGTCAAGTTTTGCCTCTGGAGTTTTTAATGTATGTGGGTTTTTTTAGTGATTTTATTTTTTTACAGCAGTTGTAGGTTCACAGCAAAACTGAACAGAAGGTACAGAGATTTCCCATATAGCTTCCCCCCCACACATATGCATAGCCTCTCCCATTATTAACATTCCCCATCAGAATGGTACATTTGTTGCAATTGATGAACCTACACTGACACATATAATTACCCAAAGTCCATTGTTTAGCTTAGGGTTCACTCTTGGTGTGGTACATTCTAGGAGTTTGGGCAAATATATAATGACATATATCTATCATTATAGTATCATGCAGAGTATGTTCACTTCCGTAAAATTCCTCTGTGCTCTGTCTATTCATCCCTACCTCCACCAACCTCTGGAAAGCAGTAATGTTTTTACTGTCTGTGTAGTTTTGCCTTTTCCAGAATGTCATATAGTTGTAATCACACAGTATATAGCCTTTTCATATTGGCTTCTTTCACTTAGTGATATGCATTTAAGGTTCTTCCCTGTCTTTTCATGGTGTGATAGCATATCTCCTTTTAGCACTGAATAGTATTCCAGTGTCTGGATGTACTACAGTTTATCCATTCACCTACTGAAGGATATCTTGGTTGCTTCCTAGGTTTGCCAGTTATGAATAAAGCTGCTGTAAACACCTGTATGCAGGTTTTTGTGTGGACATGTTTTCAGTGCCTTTGGGTAAATACCAGGGAACATGATTATTGGGTTGTATGATAAGCATATGTTTAGTTCTATAAAAAACTGCCAAACTGTCTCCCAAAGTGGCCATACCATTTTGCATGTCCCACCAGCAATGAATGAGCTTTTTGCTTCACATCCTTGCCAGAATTTTACATTGTCAGTGTTTGGGATTTGGCCATTCTACTAAGTGTGCAGTGGTATCTCATTGTTTTAATTTCCTTTTCTCTGATGACATATGATATGGAGCATGTTTTCATATGCTCATTTGCCATCTGTATCTTCTTTGTAGAGATGTCTGGGTTGGCCCGTTTTTAATTTTTTTTTAATGATTATTTATTTTTGAGAGAGAGAGAGGACAGAGTGTGAGTGGGGGAAGGGCAGAGAGAGAGGGAGACACAGAATCTGAAGCAGGCTCCAGGCTCTGAACTGTCAGCACAGAGCCTGACGCAGGGCTTGAACTCAAGAACTGTGAGATCATGACCTGAGCTGAAGTCAGCCGCTTAACCAACTGAGCCACCCAGGTGCCCCTGGGTTGGCCCGATTTTAAATTGAGTTGTTTTTTTATTGTTGAATTTTAAGAACCCTTTGTATATTTTGGATAAAAGTCTTTTATCAGGTGTGCCTTTTTGTAAATATATTCTCCCAGCCAATGGTTTGTCTTCTCATTTTCTTGACATTGTCTTTTCATGGAGCAATTTTTAATTATAATGAAGTCCAGCTTATCAGTTATTTCCTTAATGGATCATGACTTTGGTGTTGTATCTTGCCATATCTGAGGTCATCTAGGTTTTCTCTTATATCTTAGGAGTTTTATAGTTTTGCATTTTACATTTAGGCCTGTGATCAATTTTGAGTTAATTTTTGTGAGGGTTGTAAGGTATGTGTCTAGATTCATTTTTTTGTATGTGGATATGCAGTTGTTCCAGCACCATATGTTGAAAAGACTATCTTTACTCCATTTTATTGCCTACGTTGCTTTGTCAAAGATTAGTTGATTATATGTATATAGGTCTATTGCTAAGCAATCTGTTCTGTTCCATTGATCTGGTTGTTTTCACCAATTCCACGGTCTTTATTACTAGAAGCATCATAGTAAGTGTTGAAGTCGGGTTGAGTAAGTTCTCCAACCTCATTTTTCTCTTTCAACCTTGTGTTGGTTATTCTGGGTCTTTTTCCTTTCCATATAAACTTTAGAATCTGTCAGAATCCACAAAATAACTTGCTGTGATTTTGATTGAGATTGCATTCCAAATCCAATTGATTTTACGGATCAATTTGGAAAGAATGGACATCCTAACAATATGGAATATTGAGCCTACCTATGAACATGGGCTATCATTTATTGAGTTCTTTGATTTTTTTCATCAGAGTTTTGTAGTCTTCCTTGTTAGGATCTTATACATATTTTGTTAGGTTTATTCCTAAGTACTTCATTTTTGGGAGTGCTAATGTCAATGGTAATGTGTTTTTAATTTCAACTGTCACTTGACTTTTGCGTATTAACTTATCCTGCAACCTCACTATTTATTTGCTTATTGGTTTCAGTAGTTTTTTTTTTTTTTTATTGTTTTGGATCTTCTACCTAGATGATCATTTGATCTGTGAACAAAAATAGTTTTATGTCTTCCCAATCTGTATACCTTTTATTTTCTTTTGTTGTCTTATATCCTACATTATGATGCTGAAAAGGAGTGGTAAGAGGGGACATCCTTGCCTTGTACCTAATTTTAGTGGGCAAACTTTGATTTTATGACTTTAAGTATGATGTTGGCTGTAGGTTTTTTTTTTTTTTTTAAAGAAATTCTTTATCAAAGTTGAGGAAGTTCCTCTCTAGTC